TTTTCAGTCATTTTAGATTACAAACGGGAAATTGCAGCCCCAACACCCGAATCGGATGTCAATTTTTCATTTGTAATACAAAATGACTGAAAAACGGCAAACTTCGCAAGGCTATATTATCCGCATTTTACAAGATTTTGCAACAAAACTTTGGAATATTACTAATTTTGTGATGCTCTTTCAAGCTGTGATGAAATTTTTGTCTAGAGCGAAATTTTAGTTATAAGGGGAAAGGTCCATTGAATCACAGGAATAGTCCAGGCTAAGAATGTAATTAGGTAAGCCGAACACTTCATGTAAAGCGCATTTGATCATATCCACATGCATGCAAATTTGCGCTTTTATTAGAAATGTTATAATCGTAATTGTAACAAGATAGGTACTGGATACACCCCAGTATACCTATCTTTAACTCCAGACGAAGGGCCTTAATTCGCTCGAAACGTCGAAATTCTCCTTATATTCAGGTGGTTGCATCCCTACGACCCTACCAACGAAAACGTAATTGTTCACTGGATACACTATAAGCAGTCGGAAGTATATACAGTTTACCTGTTTTTATCCTTCTTGAAAAACTTGTTGCAATTGAAGTGTTCTTTGATGTCAGCAGAAATTAAATTACAAGAAACTTCAATCCTACTTGGTCTTTCGAGTTGCTTTGGCTAGCGGGATTAATTTGCGCACGAAGCGGGGTTTTCCTTTTTCTTGTGATTTCTCGGGTGGAACTTAAGGCCGTTTTCCACTAGGGGGGGATTTTGCGCGCAGAGCGGAATTTCTGTTTGTCTTGTGATTTCTCGGGTGGAACTAATTAGAAAAGACAAAGAGAAAGTACGCCCTGCGTGTAAAATTCCGCCTAGTCAAAAACGACCTTAAATTGGAAAACAAATCCGCTCCCCGTGCAAAATTGCGCTTAGCAGAAATCTTTGGCTATACACCCTTTTCATAAATGGCTGCCGATTAAAAATTCTTTTATGTGCATATAAATTGGCCCAACTAGCCTCGTTTCTGGGTAGAAATTCCTTTGAAATCTTAACATGAGTACGAGGCTAGTTGGGCCAATTTATATGCACATAAAAGAATTTTTAATCGGCAGCCATTTATGAAAAGGGTGTATAGGCCTAGTTTCCATATGGTCGAATAATGGTCTTGAAAATAGAGTCACGATCTTTCTCGACCTGTAAACCGCATATAAATTATCAGTATATTCTCTAGTTATAATCACTCCGCGTTAAAATGTTAACCACTCAGTTAAAATGTTGTATTTCGGCTGATAAAAAAGATCGTGACTCAATCTTTACGACCGTTAAACGACCATGCATATGGAAACCAGTCCTTATGGGCAATTTATCTATGAACAATAACATACCTTTTAAGCTTAAAGTTTTATTCTCATGATGCAGTAGCCATGTTTACATTCAGTAGATATTTCATCTCTCATTCACAAGTGGAGCACAAATGCAAGAAGTTAAATACGAATGCACGTGACAATGCATACACAGCTGAAAACGATCAGGTTGTTGCAATATTGATGAAAACAGGAATGAACAATGTTGCATGTGCGGCACACATTGTTCACAGTTGTCAACAATGTTGAACAATATTGTCACACCCAATTCAGGCTCAACAATATTGTTCAATATGGTTGACAAGTGTGGACAATGTTGGCCGCACACCATTGTTCAATCCTGTTGAACAGCAGGCTCATAATTTTTACGCGTGTATTATGCTTCGGGTCAGCGCGACAAACGGGATTTGCCATTGGTTGATGGTAACAATAGAACGTGGTAGTATTTTCGTGAGAAACTCTATAGTTAAATATCCTTTAGCACATAATTATAATAAGAAAGGTCTGCACTGTGTTGAGCATGTCTGCCAAGGTGTTTGCCGATACTTAAATACATAGCTATTGACCGTTGACGTTTCTTGAAAGAATATTGAAAGTAATGAATGTTTTTAATATTCAAATATTCTGACTTATTAATGTATTTAATGACTAAATTCGACAATTTCACATCGCCCTGACACGGGAAAGTGCAGTATTTTGAAATCGCTTGTATTAAAGAGATCAGTATGTATACTCGTGTATACTGTACATATATAGAAATAAGAAATTCGTAGCTATATTCAAATCAATTTTAGAATGATCCTTTGGATTTCGAACTGTTACAAAACACTGGAAAATAGGATCTGGCTGGAGGTTTTTTAGTGTACCATGCATTAACTATGAACGATTACAACAAAGAAAAGTACCAATGAGTGTTGTGGTCTACAGGCAGGAGCAACTCCTCGTCCTAATTTTCCAAACATTGTTTTAAGATGAAGTATCTCGAACGACACTGAATGACACGCTCGTGTTGCTCTCTCTGCAACACCATACCATGCATTATTTATCAATGTTTAAAATGTAGAAAGTATATACATGTATACGTTGTTTTGCATTCTATATAGGCCTTAAATCATATGTGGCTGAAATTCAACAGCCATTAAACGCTTCGTAAAACTTTTTAAACATACATTAAACTTAATTAACTACGTTTTAGCAGAGATGCATGCAACTACAAGGAAAAATTCGATTTTTAGGACATTGCGAAGTGAGAAGCCTCGTTTCAGACACTTGCATTTCTGTCAACCGAAGTTAGTGTTATTATTGGCAGGCATTGTACCTACACTGACACAGATCGTTCACGATTATACAGAGGTGTAACTGGACACTTGCCCGGGGCAAGTGAATATCATGGCGGGCAAGTGAACGTTTTATCTTGCTTGCCCGATTGGGCAAGTTGCCTTGCCACAAAAAGCTGCAGGGCATCTTTTAAGTTTATGTTTTCATTGTCGGATAAATTATTTTAAAATACATGTACTTCATTCAAATTTTGTTTTTTGGGGGCAAAGCTAGATCTGAGGCGGTATACAGTATAACATAGCCATATAGAGCAGTGGGAAAACGGGTCGACATGCAGTTGTCCCATTAATTATACCCCCTACCTACAATCGCGTGCAAAAATAATGAGACCTTTCACGTTTTGGGCCATTTTAAAGTACGTCGACCTCCCCCCTGCCCCATGCATGATCAATGTTGGGAAAAGTGGGTTGAATTTTCTCTTTTCAGTCATCCACACAACATTCAATTGGGGGTGAGGGGGGGGGGCATTTATGCGGTTGTCTCAATAATTTTTGCTCCTGATTGTAGGTACCCCAGTGGTCATTGCCTGATGACAAGTAAATTTTAGTCAGGGCAACTAATTTTCATGTGAAACTTGCCCTGAGGGCAAGTGGTCAAAAAAGTAAAAGTTACACCACTGATTATAAATCCGTTATGTCGATAACCTATGTTCAACCAATTAAAGAAATAGATGTTCTCATTAGCAATACATTATTTTTATTATCGTCTGAAACTAGAAACACGTTTCCCCCATGTCATGAGACGGAAAGAAAAGTATAATAATACAAGGACATACTGTGCAAGACGTTTTCATAATATTCGTACAAACTTGAGCCAAAAGTATTTACAAGATTCGTTGGTATAGGGATACAACTACCTTCAAAATATAAAGAGAATTTCGACGTTTTGAGCGAAGGCCCTTTGTCTGGAGTTACTGACGAAGGGCCTTCGAATCTTTTGAAACATCGAAATTCTCCCTACCAACGACAGCTTGTTTTCATACGGCAAAGTATTATAATCAAACTCGCAATACCTAAAGCGTTAAGCAGAGGAGTATATATCTGAAGTTTACGATGTCATGTAGAAATACGTTCTATGTTCTGGTAATACATCAGTCTTTGCTAGTGCTATAATACTCGAAAAGTTAGGAATTTATCATACCTTAAAGTCTTTCTTTGCTGTATTGAATATTGTTAATACATCACATAAATGCCAGCTGCTGCTTGAACAAAACGTGACTTTAGTAGTTCTGCCGATATTTGTGGATGTAATTGCTTTCGACGTGCACAATAGTTTGGCCTGCCGACAAAACTATTATGAATGACGAAAGCAATTACATGTATCCATGCAAAAGGGAAAAGTGCCAGATGGTAGATAAATTTTAATAAAATTTCCAATGTTGTTTTGGCAATTTACTCAACAAATAAATTAACGCATACGTCATAAAACAGAACATTCTACATCGGTCGCTAAAATCGACATTCTGTTGACTATACATTGTTCGGCAAAGGAGACTGCTCAGACTCGCGTGAGTTTTATACACGTCAAGAATAGTGTGCTGCCTTGCTGCCGCTCGGCAGCAAATATCGCTTAATTAATTAAATTTGTCAAAATGGTTTATTATGTTATGCATGAGCATAAAAATTGTTTAACATATCCGTTTTCGCGAATTAATCGACATCAGGGACGTCCTGGCTAGGGAGGAGCCTACGAGAACTTGTTGTGGGCCCCTGCCATCATGGGCCCCTAAAATTAAAACATTGCAAAAAATAGAAAATATAGATTTTAATTTTGAAAACCAAGATTCAGATATTACAATAGTTATATTGTAAAAATTAAAATTACCGAAAAATTACGATATGTCGGGAAAAATGTTTGTATTCAAAGAAAAATTACGATACGTCAGGAAAACCTTTTGTATGTTAGGAAAAAAATTGGCGACCGCCCCCCCCCCCCCAACAATTCTTGGGGAAAATATTAATATTGGGCCGTCCATCACTGGGCCTGGGCCCCATCAGACGTTGCTCATTCGTTGTCCACTTGTCCTGTTTAAGACGCCAAGCACGTCCCTGATCGACATATCTTTACCGCAAATATCCGCAATAAAACAAGACGCTCTGTTGATCCATTCAACGTTTAGTCGCTGAGGTTATTAAAATTAAGTAGAGGCCTATTCTGCGATAGCAGAGGCCTGCACAAATTTGTCGAGAGGCAAGTAAGTCCCAAATTATGAAAATTGTTGATTTACGCACTATATTTTTAATACTAACTGTTAATACTAATATCTTTAATAACATATCGCGGCCTTCTGTGACATACTGTTATAGGAGCACGTAAAATGCCCCTAAATTTTGAAAGTGTGAAAGCATTATACTTAAATATTAAAGGCCTCACGACGGCTGTCATCTACGACGGCATGCAATATGTGACCGACAATACTCATAGCGCCAAAAATGGAGTTCATGCACTATTCATAGATTTTCGCAAAGCGTTTGACCTTGTTGACCACGGAATTCTACTTCGTAAGCTCGCAGAAATGAATGTAACCAAAGCCTTTTGGCTATGGACGCGTAGTTTTCTGGAAGATAGAAGACAACAGGTCAAACTAGCAGGGACCCTATCATCGGTCAAACCTTGTCCTGCAGGAGTCCCACAAGGTTCTGTGATGTCCCCCGCTCTTTTTAATATTCACATTAACGATATTGAGAACTCAATCCCAGATGGATTATCCATAAACATATGCAAATACGCGGATGATTGTACACAGGACGAAGTGGTGTCACAAGGTTCATCCAGCCATATGCAGGAGGCCCTTGAAGCAGTACAAGAATGGTCTAATAGGAACAAAATGACGATAAATTCGAAGAAAACAAAAGATATGTGGATATGTTTTAACACAGCAATGCCGGTACCAGAACCATTGGTCATTGGAAACGAGGTAGTGGAAAGAGTAAATTCTCATAAACTGTTGGGTGTCTGGCATCAAAACAATTTGAAATGGAACTGTCATGTTAAGAACATTGTAAGGAAAGCAAATAAACGAATGTTTAGTCTGAGAGAATGCCGTAGGGCGAATCTTCCTCGTGAGGTCGGTATTACATGTTATGAATCCAAGATTAGACCTGTTTTAGAATATGCAGCTCCGATATGGGGTGGTTTACCACAATATCTCATTGATGAAATAGAGAGCATTCAAAACAGATGCATCAAAATCCTCGGCACATCTCGGTGCAACTTTGAAACGCTAGAACAAAGAAGGGCACACCTAACTGTTAAGGAATACCAAAGAATTCTAAGTAATCCGACCAACCCATGTAATATAATAATATAATATAATGAATTTGTCACTTTATACACGATACAAACTAATTAATTAAAGACAAATAAAGACAGATACAAATCGTGACAGGGGAAAGGAACAGGACTCTCGTCCCAATTGACACCTAACCCCTAAAAAGACGTTAAATATAAATAAAGATAAAGAACAGGTTATAACACATTAGTTATAACAACTTATACTAGCTAAGGTTTGAATCGTGACTATAAAAGTACTGAACGTTTACACACTGCGACTTACCCACTATGCAGATTACTATTATGAATTATTCAAAATCAATTTGGAAATCACGAGTCAATTTATAACATATTTGTAAATATGATGAAAATGGCCGGATGATGGTTCAACAAATCGCAATGTGTAGACGCTGATCACGCGTGCCCGGAGGTACGTAATGCGATAACTTACTAGAATACAACTTATGAAGATGAGACTTGAAAATACTTAAAGAATTGGAGGATTTGACAAGAGACGGTAGAGTGTTCCATAGTTCAACCGTTCTAATGAAAAAAGAATTTCTAAAATAGTCCTGCTTGTGTTTAATTATAAGATTATAGTTGTTTTTATCATAATTTCTTGATTGGTATCCAGGTTCAAAAGTACATATATATTTGTTCACATCAGTAGTAATTGCTCCAGTTCTAGATTTAAAAAGTAGGCATATGTCTGAGATATCTCTTCTGAACTCAAGAGGGAGAATCTTGATCTTCGCGAGTCTGTCGGCATACGTTAGGTCCTGTGGATAGTCAAGAATAAACTTTGTTGCCCTCCGCTGGATATTTTCGACTAGTCTCTTATGCTTGATGGTATAAGGTGACCATAAGCTGCTGGCATATTCTAGAATGGGCCTCACGAGAGCGCAGAATAGTAATTTTCTCACTCTTTGGTCGTGGGTATCCTTGCAAGTTCGTTTGACAAGTCCGAGTGTTCTGTTGGCTTTCGCCACCGTTTCTTCTATGTGTCTTGACCACGACATGTCACTGCATACAGTCACACCAAGATCTTTGACGTATGGAACACATTCCAGAGGTTGACCGTCTAAATAGTACTGAGATACAATCTTCGTCTTCTTTCTCGAGACCCGCAGTGCTTGACATTTAGATTTGTTAAACTTCATCGCCCAGTCAAGACTCCATTTATGAAGGTTATTCAGGTCGTTTTGGAGGCGAAGGGTTGAGTCAGGAAGGTTGATGGGTTTATAAAGTTTGGAGTCATCGGCAAACAGGGCAATGGTTGATTGGGAATTGATGTAGCTGGGGAGATCGTTGACGTAGACGAGGAACAAGAGAGGACCAAGTATGGAACCTTGGGGGACACCGGATGTTATTGGAAGCCAGAATAAACACCATCAAGAACAACTCTTTGATATCTGTCCGTGAGATAGCTGCTAAACCACGAGAGAAGAGATCCTGAGATGCCATAACTGTTCAGTTTTAAAAGTAGTAAACTATGTGGGACCTTGTCGAAGGCTTTAGATAGATCTAAGTAAATGATATCTACTTCCCTTCCCGATGCAACGGTTTCTATAATGTTGTGATAAACCTCCAAAAGTTGCGTTACCGTTGATCGTCCGCGCAAGAACCCGTGTTGAAGGTGGTATAACAGGGGTGAGAG